CGATTCGCCTTTCGATAGAACATGATAAATTGAGGTCGAGGAACACGAAGGCACGATCATACGTAAAGCAAATAAGACAGAAAATCTATACCATACGGTGTATATAATACGGAATATATAATTTCCTTTCTTTCTGATTACCACAAATAACAACTTTCCCGATTTCCTTTGAATGAAAAATGTTCTACCGTTGCAACATTTATTTATAATATAATATAGCACTTTGACTCGTTAAAGAATATTCATTGTTTTAGAAATATTTTTCGCCTAGTATCATTGCAAAAAAGTTTTATGATGATAAAAATCAAGTACATCTCTCCTTGTTAAAAATAAAACATAATTATCGGCATCGCCAATTTAATTTCGCAAGGAGGATGACCAAATGGTAGAACTGAATTAAAAGTCAATTAAGGGCAATCGAAAATATCATTGAAACATTATAAGTATATACATTAGTAAAAATTAAAAACAGCTGGCATTGTAAAGTCCGTTACACTCTACCCATCCAAGGCCAAAATCCGTGGATTTTTCTTTGTCAAAGAAAGTCGACAGTCAGGATCAGGTCGTTCCCGCGACTCGTCGTACCATTTGCCAAATTGAGAAAGCCTTTAGTAATCGAAAACGAACCTTGACACTCTTTTTCTACCAACGATCTTGTATTTTCGAGAGGCGCATACATCTCAACTCGAATGCTTTTTGCCGCGGTCGACGGTTTTACCGCATTGCCCGGCGGGGAGGTTTCTTAAAATAGATTCCAGTGTTAACTAGAGGTTAGTTCGAACACGTACGCACACATATACTTATCGAGTGGAACATACAATGCCATCGCGGGTTTCTCTAGACAAGATTTTACATTTTACTCTATGAAAGCTGGACATATATGTACGCGCATTTGTGCCTTCAGCTACAATCCGTTGCTGTTGCACCAAAAGCTACGTCCCTCTATTGTAATTTAAATAAAGAGTATTAATTAATTCAGCATTACTGAAATAATAAAGTAATATAGAATAATAAGCTGATTCTGACCAAAGAGGCAGGTAGAGAGAGAGAGAGAGAGAGAAAAGGAAAAAATCCATTTTGTATAATTTGATTTATAATTTAAAATTTTTATAATTTTGTAAAAAAAAATGAAAAAGGTATAGAATTCAATAAAAAAATATTTTCAACCGAAATATAGTATAGTATTTTTTAAATAAATGTCTAAAATTATATACGTTTAAAAGGTAATATCGAAAATGTAATTTAAATAAAGTCTCTTCGTATATAAATTTTTAATCGATATAATCGTGATTTTTATCACACTGTCTTGTCAGAGAACTTAAGACTCGTGTAAGCATAATATAATTTTAAAACGAATAATAATCTAGCATCCGCAGTTTGTTGCTAGATAATTACTGCTTCCAAGATATTAGTAGAATCCTGTGGATTTTTATCTCATCCTTTCTATCTTTTTTTTATTTTGCACACTTCCTCGCATTCCCTACCTTATCTCTGTTTCTATCTCTTCGCTTTTCCGTTTTGTGTATCGAGAGATAAAGGATTCTTCGCCTTGGTGGTCTTCTCTCCTCTATTGCTATTATCGCTTCTTTCATAGCTTTTCAAAAGAAAAGCATCCACCTTACGAAGGCGAATCGCGCGCAAGAAGAGCCTGATGTACCGCATCCGCTATTTTTACGTGTCTCTTCTGATGTCTTTCTTGACGCCTGGTTTATTTGCCTGTCACGTTGACGCGCAATTATTACGAACGCGCTACGTGATTTAATATGCGAGCGTACTTCGTCGCACTTTAGATCGACGCGATAAAATTTCCGACAATTTGTTTTTCTTCCGCCAAATGCGTATAGCGCACGGATGGATGCCATTGATGTAACATAGATATGCAGCGTGGCGGAAATTGCGTTATTTTCAACTGTTACTTGAAGAAATATAAAACGAGCTCTTGATAAAATTTATGCCATAGAAGTATTATATATCGCGATATTTTATAATTGTGATAAAAGTAATTTATCAATGTATTCATCAAAACTGTCAATAAGTAATAAATTTTATCTCGATTTATTTTCAGTGCGTCATTCTGAATGGCTCTCTATTTTGACATTTGGTTTAATTTGAACTAAATTATTTTATAAAAAAATAAATTTTTGTAAGACTAAATATAAGCAAAATGTCTATACGAATTTCTGGTTAGTGCATAAATAATATATTTATAAAGCGATAATTCGCTAATAATTAGTACTTATTAATAAAGTAAAAAAATTTGCAAAATTTATTTTAACTATTATTATGTTTCACTTTTATGTGATTTTTAATTTTCATTTTTAAGATAATTTTAAAAAAGTAACATAGAGTCAAAGAAAAAATATCTAAATATTAGGTGTAGTAAAAAGTCATCACGTATTTTTAAAAGACATTTATCAGTAAAAACCGCAATTACTTTCTTACCAACAATATAAATATATTTTGATAGAGTAAAGTTTCAGCTTTAAAAATCTCTTTTTTAAATTATATGATACGACAATTTTTAATGGAGTTATGAGCAATT